ACCTGATGCTGGGAAAGATTGAAGGCAGGAGAAGAAGGGGATGACAGAGGATGAGATGGCATCATTGACATGATGGACATGAGTTTGAGCAAGCACCAGGAGTTGGTAATGGACAGGGAAGCCTGGCATGCTGCAGTCCATGGGGTTGAAAGTGTCGGACATGACTGAGCGACTGAACTGAACTGAACATCAAGAAAGCCTTGCTGGTTCTCTTTCTCCAGGATCCCTCCCCTTTCTTATCTGGTTAGACTTTTATCCCCGAAACCATAATAATGATCAGTAATCAACTCCACCAAAAAGCAGTGATGACCTGGATGAAGGAGAGATCCATTTGAAACAGGAAGGCCTGGCGTGCTGCGATTCATGGGGTCGCAAAGAGTCGGACACGACTGAGTGACTGAACTGAACTGAACTGAATACTTCTATCTTGTATCTATATTCTTTTATTTTTCTATTTTTCCTACTTTGTTGCATTTTATTTCATTTCCTTACCTCCCTTTGTACCTTTCATAGACAGTGGAAACTAAAGCCCAGAGAGGGGACATGACTTGCCCAAGGTCACCATTTAGTTTTAGCCAGAATAAGAACATTTTATTTAAGGCTTTTTCCTGTCATCAGAATGCTCTTTTCATCACCCAGGTTGTGTTGAGTAGCCTTGAAATTCTCTAATGATTGACTTTTCTTACAGTGGGGTTGACTAGCTCAGTTTTAGAATAATGAAGAGTGTTCCTTCTAAAGAGAACTCCCTGGGACTTCCCTGGTGGTTCAGTGGTTAAGAATCTGCCTGCCAATGCAGGGCACGCCAATTCAGACCCCAGTGGGGAAACTAAGATGCCACATGCTAGGAAGCAACTAAGCCCTTGGGCCACAATTGCTTGGCCCATGTGCCACAACTAGAGAGTCCATATGTTGCAATGAAAGATCCTGCGTGATCCATCTAAGACCTGATGCAGCCAAATAAATAAAAATAAATTAATAGAACTCCTAACTGGTTCTTGCTTCCTGTTCCTAAGGCCTACCCTCCTTTTAAAAGACAAAGCTGACATTCTTCCCCTTGTCAATTTCGAAGGACTCTCTCCATAACGTGGGCTGACATCCATGGCTAAGAAAAGATTCTGGCTCCTCGACTGACTCGGCCAAGATGCAGCCATGTCCTGTGGAGAAGGCTCAGGTGTTGTCATTTTAAGATGCTGTGAGGCTGATAGTCAGGCCAGTGGGAACATATGGAATGTGTCACACCCATCTTCTTCTTTGTCCAAAACCATTATCCTATTAGACAAATGTGAGGCTGACAAAACAGCTAAGAGATGAGACACTAACCACTCATTTTCTCAGAATGACTTTATTGGTTTAGATCAAAATGGTCCTTGTTCTTAGGGCGATTGCAACTTAAAATCATGTCCCTAGCTCTGATATTTCCTCCTGTGTCTCACTTTTCTTTTCTTTTCTTTTTTGCCTTTTTCTTTTCTTCTTGGTTATTTATTTTTGAGATTGACACAGTGCAAGCTTTGTTCAGTGGCCAAAGAATCAATTTCTCACCCACCTGGCAAGAACGATTCATTCTGTTTTTATTTTTAACTTTTTATTATATATCGGAGTGGAGTGGATTAATGATGTGTTAGTTTCAGGGATACAGCAAAGTGATTTACTTGTACATATACATGTATCTTCTTTTTCAAATTCTTTTTCTGATAGCTAAAACTAGAGTGGTCTTCAAGGATACCTCTAGCTCTGATGCCATAGAATTTTCCTTTTTTTATACAATAGTCATATAGCAAGCGCATGGGTCATTCTGACTTGCCTAGTTCTCTTCATCCACAATCTCAGGACACTGGGATACCTGACCTTTACATGTGACCTGGGAATGTATCTGAGCATATGATCTGGCATTCCCATTTTTAAAACTTAATTCTAAGAGTACACACATAGGACTTTGTACATGATATTGGTTAAAATATCAGATAAGGGTGGTATCTTTGCCCCTTATTTTTCAGATGAGAAAATGAGTCCCTATATTGTTAACTAGATGTCCAGAGTCGCTATGTCCCAGGAATAATAACTAGCATTTAGTGAATGTGAATGTTGTGCCAGGCACTATATTAAGAGCTTCATATGGACTCATTCATTTGCTCCTCACATAACCCTTGGAGGCTGGTAACAATGATCTCACTTTACAGTGAATAGAGGCACAGAGAGGTTAAGCAACTTGCACAGTTCACACTGCTGATAGGTGGATGAGGTCGTATCACAAGGTTCCTTCTATACTATAAATGCTATATACGGTAAGTATATCATCTTGCCTTTCATTACCTTACTTAATCTAATCTGCAATTATTTCATTTCATTCTCATTTTAATGCTATGAATTATGTTTTTACATCAGTGGTGTGCCAATAAATGTCTAATAACTGGCTCACTGGGGGAGGGAGGAGCCTAATTTGTAGTGTTTGCCAATTTCAGTGGTGCAAATATCCCCAGTGGTTAATCTCCAATGAGACATCAATGAACCCAGAGTTTTGAAAAGAAATATTCTCCATTATATGGTATTTCCATTCTGTGGATACATGTACATAGCTTCAAGAATTATAGCTAATAGTAAACTGCATTAAAATAATTAGGAAATGATGTTTTGAATATTTGAGGTTTTATTTTTCATGAAATGTATTTAGCTGTAGGTTAACAAAGGAAGCTCAGAATAATACCTACAACATTTTTGTGTTCCCATTTTTGTGCTTCAGAGAAAATTCTCTACCCCATATATGTGTATAAATGTTTGCTGGTGCCGGGTGCTTAGTCACTCAGTCGTGTCCAACTCTTTGTGACCCCATGGACTGCAGTCTGCCAGTCTCCTCTGTCCGTGGGATCCTCCAGGCCAGAATACTGGAGTGGGTTGCCATGCCCCTCCTCCAGGGGATCTTCCCAACACAGGGATCGAATCTGGGTCTCCAGCATTGCAGGTGGATTCTTTACTGCCTGAGCCACCAAGGGAGCCCATAAATGTTTATTTGATCAATAAAAAAGTAAATTCTTCAAATGGGTTACATCAGAAACGAGGAAGTGAGGATGCCCAGAGACAGATTACCTTTTTCTTGTTATACCTCTGTATTTGTTGATTGTTGTACAACCATCATACTGTGCTTTTATGACAAAATATAATTTATAAAGTTTTAGTTTTTTTTTTTTTGGTTTTCTTTTGTTTTTGCTCCCACTGCACAGCTTGCGGGATCTCAGTTCCCCACCAGGGACTGAACCTGGGTCGCCGCAGTGGTGGAAATGCCAAGTCCTAACCATGGGACCACCAGGGAAGTCCCGATATGAAGTTTTTTTTTTTCTTTTAACGTGAAACTAGAATCAGGAAGTAAGAAGTGACTCTTCTATTAAATGGAAAAGTGGCTGTTTGTTGGCCATTTCTTCGTGGTCCCTGGCTCGCAGCTGCAACACTTCAGTCTCGGCCTCTGTTGTCTGTGGTTTTCTACCCTTCTATGCCCGTGTATCTTCTCCTCTTCTTATAAGGACACCAGTCATTTTGGATTAAGGCCCTACTGTAGTCTGCTAAGACCAGATTATATCTGCTTTGGTCCCTGTTTGCAAAGATCACATTCTGAGGTACTGGAGGGTCAGGACTCCAACATATCTTTTGCGGGGACACAATTCAATCCAAACGCCTTCCTACCATCATTGTTGCAGGGAGCTGCCAGAGCAAACTTTTAAAAATATAAATTGGTTCACCTTCCTCGTTCCGTATCACACTGAGATCGAACTAGAGCCACCATGCCTTCCTCCTTCTGATCCCAGCCTCTGCCTCCATCCATATCACTTCCCACTCCCTGTTTTATTAATCTGAGCTGACCGTACTGACTCTTCCTAGAGCATTCCAAACACCTTTCCCCTTCAGAGTCTTTGCTGTTCCTTCGGTCTGGAATGTGCTTCCTCTGGATGAGTGCCTGGCTCTCCTCATGCCTTCCAGGTCTTCACATGCAGGGCCACCTCCTCTAAGCGGTATAGTCTGACTAGAACCGGGGCCACTCCCTGTTTCTCCCTTCGTGGAAGGTAAGCTCCTCAGGGGGAGGGTTTTCTAAAATCTGAAAACCTTGCAGACATTTTAATGTACCTTTTAATTCAATTAAACTTTTGAACAGGCAACTTATTTACATGGCTTAAGTGAAAATGATATAAAAAGATATTCAGAGAAGTCTCATCCCCATTTCTGCCTTTGACCATCGAGTTTACCTCACCTCAATAGAAAACTGTTTTTATTAGTCTTCCAGTATTTCTTTATGCAACTACAATATGTGTTTGTATATACGTACATATGTATTCTTGTTTTCCCATATTATACCAAAACCATAATTTAATGCATAGTTGGCACCTTGGTTTATTTACCTTGAAAATACTTCCTAGACATCATTCCATATCAGTTTACAGAAAATTTTCTCATTTTTTAAAAAACAGTATTCGGTTTTAGGAATGTGATGAGTTTAATCACTTCCCTACTGATAAACACGTGTGGCTTCCATCTTTTGTTACATAGGACAGGGATTTTCATGACGAAACCTCCAGAGTTTTGAAGTCTTTCTGCACAGAGCCGACAGTCAGTAAACAATTGTAGAGAAAGTGAATGATGAATGAATCACCAGGAATGAGCCAAGGAGTAGAGCAGGAAAGAAGCCCAAGGGCGGCACGCTGGTGCACGGTGCTGCGCAGAGGCTCCACCAGGTGGCGCTGCAGGCGGCGGGCGCGCCTGGCCCGACGGGCCCTGCCGCTCTTGCCGTGGGCGCCGGCGGCGGCGCGGGGACGAGCGTGGGGGTAGGGCCAGTCATATGACCCGCTCGGCTTCCTGGCTCCGGCCGCCGCCGCCCGCCAGTGTCCGCCTGTGTCGCGCCGGGGCCCCGAGGAGCCGTTGCGGGGGGTCCGGGCCGAGGCCCGCTCGTGTGGAGGTCGCCGCCGCCGCCGCTGCCCGCCCGCTCGCCCGTCCGTCTGTCCTCCCTCCCGGCCGCCATCATGCTGGCGCTCATCTCCCGCCTGCTGGACTGGTTCCGCTCGCTCTTCTGGAAGGAGGAGATGGAGCTGACGCTCGTGGGGCTGCAGTACTCGGGCAAGACCACCTTCGTCAATGTCATCGCGGTGAGCGCCCTCCCGCTTGCCCTCCCTGGGCGCCGCAGCCCGCGAGTCCGGCCCGGCGTCTGCTCGAAGGCCGGGCCGGTGGTGGTGGGGGAGGTCCGCTCGGCGCGGCGGGGCTCTTGGGAGTGTGCGTGTCGGGGGAGCGGGCAGCTGTGCTGGTCGCCTCCCCGAGCGTCAGGACCTGGACTTTCTCGCGTGTTGGTGGCTCCAGTGTATCGGTGAGGTCTGCAGTTGAAGAGTTATTCCCATTTAGTCGTCTTCTTCCAAGCACCGTGTCCTCGTCGCGGCCGGGGTTTGGAAGGGATGTAATTGGACTTGTCACATTTTTAAGGCCCTTGGGGGGACTGGGATTTCCTTCGGGTTTGATCTTTGCGGGCCGCGGAGGGGTTAACCAGCTTGTCACTTTCCCGAAGGGTGGGATTTGGCGAGTTCGTGTGTCCCATGAGAAAGCCTAGAATAATTGAGATTGTCTCAACTAGCCACTCGGGACGGAGAGCACCATTGTGAGGAAAGCAGGGGACCAGTGTGGGTTCATCCCTGAATTCTTGGGGCAGTTAATTGGCTTTTTTGCCCGTCCGTCCCCCGAGGGGCCCAGTGGATTGTGCTGTGTTCGCCGGTAAAGCTAAAGACAGGCATTTCCAGCCAGCCCATAATAGTGCACTACTTTTATTTTTTTAATTAGTTTGTTTATTTGAAGTATAGTTGACTTACAAGTGCACAGCTTTTATTAAGTGAAGAAGGTGAGTGGGTGGGGTCTCTATTTCTAGAGCTAATTGTCGTCGTCTAGGGGATAAGATTTGCAGTCAGCATAAAGTTGGAAAAGAGGTGTTGGTCTTCTGTAATGGTTTTTCTTAACATAAAGAGAAAGGAAGCGTCTGGGTAGAAACATAGCTCATTCCACGCCCAGGGAATGAGTATCTGGGAGGGAAAGAAATTGCCCTGGGAACCTATATACAATGTGGTGTTTATTCATCGGTGATTGAGGGAAGGAGGATAATTAAATTTTGCTCGTTTGGTTGGCAGGGGAAGGAATAAGAGTGAACGATTCTCATCAGTCTTCATTTAGAGCGCCGGAGTTGCTGTGACTCAGTCTTAGCTGATAGGGACTTGAGCTAGTCAGGGATGAACTTTTGAGCTACTCCAAAGAGAGATGGCAGCAGTTTCTCCACCGTTTAGATGATGGGTGAAATCCTTCTTTTATAGGCGACCAGCTGTCTGACTGGTTTGCTTACTGGAATGATTCAAACACGCCTGTCTTGTTGGAGAACACAACTTGTGTAACTTGTGACTCTTAGTCCTTGCAGTATAGAGCAACAGGAAGGAGAAGTAGAGATGAGCAGACATCAGACTTCCTTTGAGGAATATCACATATAAGCATAAGGAAAACTTGCTTACTTGTTTGGCTCTTGTAATGTTATTGGGCCAGAGGCTTGAGTCTTTTCAACAGGACTATAAGAGTGGAATGGATATCTAATACCACTAAAATTAGTAAGAGAAAACTTCAGGCTTTGGCTAAATACACATATTTGAAGTCTTATATGATGTGGAAAAGACAAGCTGAGCTCATTTAACTGTAAATTTTCTGATACTGTTTTGGGATAAGAATTGGTGTCTCTTCCTAAATCCTCTCTTTTTGAGAAGACTTAATTACAGTGTTTTGTAGGTTTATTACTACAATCAATTGTATTTGTTACAGGAAGTAGTTATGGTTGGGAAACCTAGAAAGATTTTAATAAATCTTGAGGAACTTCTGAAACCATAAACTCGATTTTCATGCTTGTGTTTTTAGTAGACGGTTTAGCTTGACATAATAAGCATGAACTTTGAAGTCTAAACAACCCTGGATTTGCAATCTGGCTCTGCCACTTAGCAGCCTTGTATCCTCTTTCAGTCCTTGCTTTCCTGTCTATTAAGAGGAGTTAATAATAGGTTTCTTACAGAGTTGCTGTGAGTGCATGAAATGACAGATGTTAAGTGATTAGCATCATGCCTGCCCATAGAAGGGGCTAGATAAATGGTAAGTGCTGTATTATTTGTAGTGGGTACAGTCACTTAATGCAGAAACGGTATTCTGAAAAATATTTAGAAGGGAATTAGCGCGGGCATTCCTTTGCATTTGTATAGGTATTCAAATGTGGGCTGCTGTAGTGGATTCATAGATCATGACAAGTAATTGCAGCATGTCCTCCCTCTCCCCCCATCTGTTAACATCTGGAAAGCTGTTGAACTCAAAGTGAACTATTTTTTTTAACGTTAAGACTCTTATTTTTGTTTCATTTTGGGCAAGCTGTGCAGCTTGGAGGATCTTTGGTCCCTGACCAGGGATTGAACCCTGACCCTTGCCAGTGAGAGGTCTGCATCCTAACCACTGGACTGCCCGGGAATCACCTAGACTCTTCTTTCTGAATGATGTAATGTGGGTTGCAGATGCAGTGTTAGTCACTCAGTTGTGTCTGACTCTTTGTGATCCCATGGGCTGTAGCCTGCCAGGTTCCTCTTTCCATGGAATTCTCCAGGTAAGAATACTGGAGTGGTAGCCATTCCCTTCTCCAGGGGATCTTCCCAACCCAGGGATCGAGCCCTGGTCTCCCACGTTGCAGACTGATCTTTACCATCTGAGGAGAGACCATAATGTAGGACTAGACTCTCTTAAGAAAAAAATTGTGACTGTGATTGCCTGTGGCCTTTAAGATGCTGGAAAAAAGTTGTCAGTTACTAAGTCCTGTCTGACTTTTTTGCAACCCCATGGACGCCCACCAGGCTCCTCTGTCAATGGGGTTTCCCAGGCAAGAATACTGGAGTGGATTGGCATCTCCTTCTCCAGGGGATCTTCCTGACCCAGGGATTAAACTTACGTCTCTTTGTGTTTGCAAGTGGATTCCTTACTGCTGAGCCACCAGGGAAGCCTGGAAAAAAGAGACCTCAGTAAATTTTATGCCTTTTTTATAAACCACAGGCTTTAACCTAATCTGTGATTCTTATATATCAAGGGTTAGGAAAAAGTTAGTAATCTATAGTGAATTTACAGAGTTTTAGATAGAAACACTATGTCTAAAATAGTAAATTTAGCTTTATTTTAAAAAAATCAATTGCATTATTCTTTATATAAAATGTTTGATTTATAGATTCAGAGATTCTGATGTATTGAACACTACGTGTCACTTTAGAAAGATGACCATTTATTTCTCAAATTCAAAGTAATTTTCCAGATATGAAAAGCTTCAGGTGAAACTGGTTTTCTTAGGTAAAAATCAACTTTTTGTGAACATCACATTAAAATGTAGCTATATTTACTGCCTTAAAAGTTAAGAAAACTGAGAGATGTTATTTAACTTACTGTAGAGGTTTGTGAAGGTGAATTTACTTACATGTAGGATTTGGTCTACTTTGAAATGAGGCAGTTTGCTTACAGAGAGTCTTAGTCCTCAAATTCATATTCTTATGGTTTCAAACCCCAAGTGATACTTCATGTAATGTGATTTTATGTAGAGATTAATATATATCGTGTTCTCTTTGTTTTGAACCTTTAAAAAAACACGTCCAAGTCTTTAATTTTATGATTAATGCTAGAAAATGAAATACTGCCCATTGCTAAGTATTATGGCAGTTATTGCATAATAAATCATGTGTCTTGTATGTGTAATTTATGTTGAGTAACCTTTAATCTTAACTGAGACTCTTACATGGGTTATAGGATAGTTACGAAGAAATGTTTGATAGGATTTACCAAAAGTTTTATAGACATTGTGTAGTTTTGAAAGTAGTAGTATTATAAAAATTTCTCTACATTTTTGTGAAGTGTTGATAGCTCAAAGGTTAATCAAAGGAAAAGTTTATTACTCATGAGAATTATGAAAAGGAGATACTTGGAAAGATTGTAGAAATTTGGACCTAGAATAATTTTTTTAAGTTTGTTAAAAAAAATTAAGTGGTCTCCTTTTATCCTCATTTTATAGATGTAGCCAAGAAATCCAGAAAGGTTAAGTGAAATTCCTAAGGCTAATTAGTAGCAGAGATAAAATTAGAACCCAGGGCCAGTGCATTTTCTCCTTACCTCCCTCGGTAGATCTACCTGAGATCAGAATCATAGAGCTGTGAATTGGGAGATCTTAGTTCCTTAAATATCTGTTCTGAATGTGAGCATACTCCTCTTATGAATATGAATAGCATTTCAAATCCAGCGTCTTAAGCGTATTGACTGCCATCTGAGGACTACACATGCACGCGCACATAGACTGTGTGTGTGTGTGTGTTTGAAGACATGAATTAGGGGAAAGAAGGTCTGCCCATGAATTAGGGTCTAGTAGGCACACAGGAACAGTGGAATATTATTGTGTTGCACATTTAAATAACTGGCTGGCAGGCGTCGTTGGGTTATTGAACTATGTTTGTTGTTAATGTTTAGTTGCCAAGTCCTGTCAGACTCTTTGCAGCTCCATGAACTGTAGCCTGCCAGGCTCCTCTGTCCATGAGATTTTCCAGACAAGAATGCTGGAGAGGTTTGCCATTTCCTTCTCCAGAGGATATTCCCGACTCGGGAATCAAATCTGCACCTTCTACATTCGCAAGTGGGTTTTTTACCACTCAGCGACCAGAGAAGCTGACCTATGTTTAATGTCTTCAAAAAGGAGAAATAATTCTGTGATCAGAGTGTTTCTTATTGAATTGCTCTGGGGTAAAAATGCCAAAAATAGGTTTTATATTCACCTGTAAAGTTTAGCAGATTTGAACCATGACTATAGGAGCTGGCCTTCCGGGTTGCCTTCAGATAGAGATTCGGAATTGTGGAACAGGAAGCAACTTGCTAAGGACCGTTTCTTCAAACTTGTTTATCCTCTTCCTCTCACTCATTATTTTTTCCAGTACAGACTTAGAATCCCAGAGCAAAATGTTCTTGTTAAGAAGCTGTTAAGAGTGCATTAAGGCATTTTAAATTACTACCTTAGAGGGTATTTCACAACTTAAAGCACTTACTAAGTTTCTCAAATGTTAAGTTTAAGATA